TTTTTTTTTTCTCCTAGGATTTACCTAGAATGGATGTAATTGGTACTACTGATTCATATTTTATTGCGAAATTAGACGATGAAATTTCATATAGGTAAATATAGAAATATATAATTCTTATTTTAATTATTCTATATGTTTTAGATCATTGATTGTAACGAATACATTATCACCTCAATGGAAGGATGAAGAATGGATTATTCGAAATGTTCCACTAAATGCAAAACTTACTATAGAAATTTATGATAAAGATGATGATTCACTTAATGATGATTATATTGGTCAAATTGAAATTATCGATTTGTCTAATTATCAAGCTCCAACAGAAGGTCATCGAATTCTAGATTCATTTGGTAGATATAAAGGTCGTTTTCATTTAACTATTCAATCAATAGAATTATCTGAATTAAGTAAAAAGCTTCCTCGTTATACATTCGATGGTCCATGTCGTTATACTCGACATAATTCTTCAGTTGTTGGTTATTTAACTATGCTTAATAATGAATGTATTTATTCAACATGGAAAATTAATTTAAGACGAATATCTGTATTTTTTCGTTCATATGAACGTCAACAATGGAATCGACAATATCGAATTGCTCAAACAATTTTTGGTGGTACTCCAACATCAATAATTAAACAAAATGCATTTAAATTAGCACATAAATTACTTTATAGACAAACAATAAAAAATAATGAAACTGGACGATTAAAAAATGCTGATGATTTATGGAAATTAATTCTTTATGATAATAAAACACAAAAAATAAGAACATGTATTTATACTTATATTATTGATGATAATTCATGGAGATTTAGTGAAACAGGTATTGGATATTTTACTGATTATGCAAGTAAACATGCTTTACATGCTAATTGTTCACAATCTGTTCGTTATGCTGGTCAATTTCATCCACGTCCTAAATTTGGATGGAATCAATGTGATGATGAATGGGAATTAGTATTTGATAATTGGTCAGGAACATATGCTCCTAATGCAAATTTATTGAATAATTTAAAAGAATTATTAGAATTTAATTTTCCTGGATTGAATATAGTTGTATATGATTTTAAAAATCCTTTATTACAAGAAAGTATGAAGAATTTAAAATTCGCAGAAGAAAATAATAAAATGAATTCTCCATGTCTCAATAATTTGGTAGTATTTCGACCAAATTTCAGTGAAACAAATAATTGAAATAGTTCTTAATTGTGAATAAAACGCTTGGCGTATG